AGAAAGCCAATCGACTAATGGGAACAGCGCTTGCGAGCGGCTATGGACCAGAAAGCAAAACCCATCCAGCACTTTTTCTCTTGAGGTCAGTTGCGCTTCCGTTGCGTACGCCCTCATGTGATTTCGCTTTGGAAAATTGCTCTAACTAGAGTTCTGAGCGACAAACTTCATTGACATTTTCTTAAAACAATGAACATACGAGGGCCACTCAATAAGTTATCTACCTGAATATGAAAGGGATGAGCAACAGGCCTGTGCCTGCTGTGACATGTCTCGACAGGTCTCGTGAGTGCCTCACCACTATACCAGCTCAGTGGCTCAAGTCCATTCAAAGTGGTAGCGCATTAGATTTCTTTTCCCGAGTCTATGTCATGGATTTGACGAAAGTCGAACATCGTTCAGTGATCAAATTCCTCACCAAAGAAGGTAAAGCACCTAAGGAGATTCATGAACGGATGTCTAACGTTTATGGTGTGTCTTCGCCTTCTTATTTCGGATGTTTCTTTCTTATTCAGGTAGATAACTTATTGAGTGACCCTCGTATGTTGAATCTGACACCCGAAAGTTTTCATACCAATACGTAGCATGGTTTATCATTTGTGGCCGTGTAAAGTTTGGGACTTTTCTGGGACCATCCGGTATTTCCATCACAGAGCAATCATCGATCGTTGTCCAAGGTCACTTTATAGGGTGGTGGTAGAACAAGATCGTCCAAGACATTTATCAGAGTTGGGTACCGTCGCTCTCTTTGTACTGTACTGTCCGCCGCTGGGACGGTACAAGGAAGATAAAGATACCTGTGCTTCCTGTCCGAGGCAAATATATGAATTAAATGTATCATTGGAAAACCAAGACAATGAAGATCATCATGGTGAAATTCAATTAGTTCTACATTTTGAGCACAAAGGTGTACAGTAGGGTCAAAAAACCAATAAGCTAAAATGGAAAATCTATATCCAACAGTGCTGCCACAGCGACATGTGAACTGTCGATTGATCGACAGTTGACTCCTCTAGGGTTAAGAGAACTTCATCCAGTGCTTCGAAATGTCGTCTTATCTATGTGAATAGACGCAAGTACGAACACACAACATGCAAATGTGAAAAAGTTTCAGCTTCCTGCATGCATTGCTATGTCACACGCAAGAAATGCGAAGTGTGAAACGTCCTTCAGGCATTTATGTCGGTGAAAGATTATATAACAGCTGAAGTGGCTTCACTCTCAATTGCTTTCTTATTCAGTGAAGCTGGAAAGTCCTGCGGAACGGCTGAAGCTACAGGAACATGGGTAGTCTGTTTTGACAGTCACTACTCGTGCATCCTGGTTTCGGTTCTGGCATTCCCGGTAAGTCTCGCCGTAATGCTTGCTTAATAACCATGCAAAACCAGATGCCTTTTTCCCTTCTGGGAAACATTGAAAAGGAGTTCGCTACTCTCCGCCCTGCCTTGCACACATTCACACACCCGAGCACTCCGTATGGGATGGAAGCCAGAATTCAGCATGGTTTCAGTCTCGAACACTATCTCCCCATCAATATGAGCTGGAGTACACGCTGAAAGATACCGGATCTACCTCAGGTCATGACTCAGTCGATTCGTTGGCTCACGATTTCTCGTCTGAATTCCAAGAATTCGACATGTTTTCGACGACTTTTTGCCTGCGCCTCTTTGGTTATTGGGCGAAAGTTACACTCAACTATTTTTGGGGAGACATTCTGTCACAGCGACATATTTCCTTGGGGAAATTTTTTCCATTCACCCTTTCTAATGTAGTTTTTTTTTAAAGTAAATTATTTATTTATTTATTTATTTTAAAAGCCGAATCCCTGATCTGATCACACTGGAACCTTTTATGGGTGGGTTTGTAATACAGTTTGATCCAGCTCAATGAAATACGAGGGGCAGTCAATAAGTTCCAGGAACACCTTTGTAACTTTGAGATCCCTTACCTGAGAGAAATGTTAGTAATAGCATTTGAAACCCCATTCTTTATTGTGCGTTTGGTACTAATTATGAAAATTTTAAACATATCTTTCTCGTAGATATGACCTCTAGGAGTGACCCATGTAAAAACCACTGGGAAAACTTGCAATTTTCTGACCTTGAGAGTCGTGAATACATCAAGTATATTCTATTTGACTTCAAAATATACACCTGCGGCTTCGATGTGATATGTCAAGGGGGAGCCTCAGTAATTAAATATCACTTATCCTCCTCACCTGAGACATGGTTAATGGAGGGATTTTCCTTGAAAATCAGAGTTGCCGACTTTTTTTTCATTCAATCGGGTGAAGCGGGATCCCAGTGGATCTCTCTCGGCTGACTGAAAGGTCCTTTATCTGATAACATTGAAGTGTGTCATAAACCTTTAGCCCCCCGATGAGAAGGCAACTTTCTTTCTCTTTAAGGGTATCGAATATATAGTGCCTTCTTGACAACTAAATTCACAAAATAGTAGACATTTTTCAACCAGCGAAATAACAACCGTCTTTCCCTTGACGAAGCCTTTTGTTTAGGTCTCGGCAGGATTCAGAAGCCGGATGCTTTCATATGGTTAGCAATTTTGCGTTCTTCCAAGCTGAGATATGATGACAGTAGGCACATTCAGTTGCGACCCGAGCTATAACGCGAGTCACGGCACGAAACATTGAATGCATCGGGTGATGACGCAGGAACCTGACCCGAGTTACGTGCTATGACCCGATCTCTGAGATCGAGTCATTATCGTCGGGTCATCACTCCAAACATGGCGACATCCATGGAAGGCTTCCAGCGGCGAGAGTACGTACACAGTTTCGGGGAAACGTGCAAATGAAGTTGTGAATGATGCAAGAGGATGTCACAACGGCTGTTCCTTTCTTTCACCTAGCTAATATGAATTGTAATATCCCGAAATTGCTTCTGAGAAGTGCATAGGCCTTCTCAAATTTGCTTCGAGAAGATTCCAATTTCGTATGGAACATTTTTTTTTGTTGGCTGAGGTGACGACTACCTCGAGTGGCATCGCGATGCAATAAACCAGAGGGTGAGGTCGAACTCGGGCATTGTGAATATCCCGGAGAGGTAACTTGATCTTGAGGAGCATTCTGTACCTCTTCACAATTTTCTCATTTCAACTCCCTCTGTTGTTGCTACTACGCAGAAAAACAGCTAAAATTCGCTGATTAAATGACCCAATGCATTCAGAAGGTTGCGTCCGATGTCAAAGTGGGCTATGCCACGAGTCATGACTCGCTCCGTTAGATCGAGTCGCAACTGAATGCGCCCAGTAGGGAGAACCCTGGGATTATCCATAATGCGATTGTTGCCTCCCCAGTTTAAAATCCCGGCTGGAAACAGCTATAATTTCCAACTGGACTCCAGCTGTAAATTCGGGCCCATTCCAACTGGGTAACAGCTGGAAAGCAGTCATCTGCAAATTTCTTCCTAGTTGCTATATCACTAGCTGAATGAGAATCTTTTTGTTGACTATTTTTGTCAGAGGTCCATCTACAGGAACAGTTGATTTTCAACTTTAAATTTAGCTACATTCCAGCTGTAGGGTCCTCTTGATAAAATTCCAACTGGAAAATTTCCAGCTGGAAACAGCTATTCAAATCAGCTGCATTCCAGTTGGAAAATTCCAGCTAAGAAACAACTGGTACCTACTATTTTCCAGCTCTTTTCCAGCTGGAAATGGTCCGAATTTACAGATTTGGTCCAGCTGGGATTTTAAACTGGGTCATCCAAAATAACATTTTTCGTGAGGCCCACGTTGGCCAAACGTGGTCCTCCAACGTCAGGATACGTTGGCCCAACGTAGGTTGTTCACGTAGGCCCCACGTGAAAGTGACCGTTGGGCCAACGTGGGGCCAACGTTGGCAGTAAATTGGATAGCAACATACAAGGTTCGTACGGTTCGAACGTACGGTTCATCGCAAAACCCTGATGGACATTACTTGTTAATTTCATGTAATCATCTTCAATACAGAGTGAGAAAAAAATAAATTGCATTACTTTCCGAGCGACCCTCGTATAACCCACTTATCCAAGTAGCTGGTTTTTGCTCTATATCATCATTTCATACCTTATACTTAGATTCCCTATCCAGTGAAGGTATTCCCATCTCTAGTACGGAACCTGATCTATATGGTACAACCTACCAAGGACATGTATACATATCCTGATAGGCAGGAGACATAGGACAGTACAGACGTGGATCTTCCCCTGACTGTACTTATTACAGTACGTGTCAGAGGATGGACCACCTCGTACAGTTCCATGAAGTATCCGCAATACCAGTCCTTCATTTCCTCCTTTTGCAATGAATATGAGGAAGTGTCGGAATTGAGTTCACGGATGCTCCCTCTAATAATTCAGAACTCCTTTTCGGAAGAAATTCTCCCGTCTTTCAAAAGGATTCTCATCGGGAATGAGTTTGTTTATGGCCTGAGCTCCATGAATCTGTCTTGAATAAGTGGATAACAAATGATGAAATGTCCGCGCTTATTGATTCCTATAATGAGATTAGGCGAGACATATGGCGAGGCACTAAACAATCCTGCGAAGAACGATTCCAGGGAAAGAGGGAAGGGATCTTTTGCGTGCTGTGCGAAAAGCAAGACCCTTACCAGTGGCCTGGCGAAGAACTTCAAGGTTTTGAAGTTCTCCACCAGGAGTGCTGCAGTTCTTTTCAACGTGTGGATATGCCCACATTGGGCCCACATGGGGCCAACATCGTTCCCCAACATTCACGTTCCGCCAACGTTTCCCACCTTTATCCAATGTGAGCCCAACGTAACGTGTTATCTGGGATGTATGTATAGTTTTGTATACTTCAGTGACATCCCTCTAAAAAAAAAACAACAACTTTTGGATGTACTTTATAAATGCATAAAAATGCACTTCGTAAATTTTTGAAAAAGACTCAATGGAATTTACAATATAAAAGCTTGGGGCATAGAAAGCCAATTCGAATTGCAAAAAGTCATGACGAATTCAATGTAGCCTTGAACCATGGAAAGTTGTTAGAGACGGGCGTCACGGGTGCTGAGCAACACCGAGTCGCTCTTCCGTTTGCGCCACTGTCGCTCATGTGAGATCCTGACATGCCGCATCGACGAGAGGAGGGCAAGGCTCAGGAAGAACGTTAGTTATTTGCCTTCTTAGCAAACTCAGTCTTGAATTTCCACATTTTAAAGTAATAAGCTTTGTTGTATAAGCAAGGCTACCATGGTTTCACACTACATTCGTTTCGGTCTCAGCGTAGGCAAACCTACGTTACCTTCACGTTGAAGTGAATTCCAAGTGATTGGGGCACGGGTTAACGTTAGGCCTACATTTTTGCACTCACTTCGTTTGGTGTAGGCCTTTTGCTTATGGTCGACTTCGTGTGGCCTAGGCGTAGCTTGCGCCAAAGATACAAATTCAGGTGTCTGCTAATGCATTCAATTCGTAAAAGAAAGTAAATTTGAAAATTTAGTTTAGCCTAGTCGAGATCTAAGTCGAATTTACCGTAGGCGTGCTATTTAGGCATTTAGTGAGTGGCAGTCGGGCGGACTGGCACGTTTTAGGTTCACTAACTTGGGACTAAGGCAGCCTGTAACTCAGTTACAAAGTTATGTTTCGGACAATTGTGTGACAATTTGTCTCCATGTTGCTGTTTCTTGTGGCAGTAAAAGAATGGGTATGGTTATTGGTTTGTACTATGATTTGATGATGAATTCATGTCGCCTTTTACCATTCACATTTTCTATGATGCATTCAAGGAGGTGAGGGTATATTTTCAATGAAAGTGTTGAAATACATTTTTAAAAAAGCCAAATTTCACTTGGATGGGATTTAGCTCTGGAACTGAATTACGACTAAAGTATTTTAAGGACAGTCACCCCTTAAATCATCAAAAATATTTTTAAAATGAAATCCTAGAATATGATTTAAACTTGTGCTTTAACAGTAGTAACATTTACTCATGAACAGAGTCACAGCTTGGTGCAAAAAATGTGTCATACTTGTGCTCTAATCAATAGGGAATCTATTGGAGCAGAAGAAAGGTAAATGTTTTCAAAAAGTTTAACCCTTTGTTGTGGGTTCTTTGTATTTTGTTTCATGTTCTCATTCTGTCAGTTTGCTAATTCTTATGCTTGAAAAACTTCTCTTCATTTGTATTTAAGGTACTTGACTTAAAATTGGCTGGCTTCGTGAGTGATTCCTTTCAGGAGACAAAGTTAAAAAATTCTATTTTTTTTCTCTCTCTAGAAAAGCTATAATGGTATTTTAACTTCATAAAATCGATTTAATTTCAAGACATTTGTCAGGAATCAGCTTCTGTAGTGTTTTATTAATTGATTATAAGTGTGTTTGAAGTATCATCTTTTTTGATTGGTTATTTACTCTTTATATATTATTTACTGTTGAAGAAACATTTTAAAATGTTTTGTAAAGTGAGAAGTTAAGTTGGTTTTATTTGGTATTATAAATATTGACAGGAATTCCCAAGGTCATTACTCAGTTTCTGAGTTCATAATAGTGTAAATATTCACAGGTGTTCAATAATTGCCAAAAGGTAGCCTACAGCCAAATTTAATCCAAACCTATGACAATAGCTTGTCTGGATGCCTTATTTTCTAATGCTCTTGCACCTATATATATAAAGCAAATGAATGGACTAACATTTGCAAATCGCCAAAGGCAAAGTGCTCACTACTACTTGGCTAGACCTATTCTGGAGTTGTGGAACTTTTCCAGGCCTAGCAGCCAATGTTACTTCTTTGGTTCTGTATTTTATCCTGGCTATGAAATAGTAGTTTTCAGGTCTTTGATGATGGATGAAAAGGAGGCTGCAAATGGGACAGTTGATAATGGCCAACTGCTGAACTGCAATGATAAGCCAATTGACTCAAAAGATGGGAAAGGAGCAGATATCAAGGGTGAGAATGAAGAAAAAACAATAGATTCAAGTGGTGCAGCTTTGTCAAGTCCAAGTAAACCATTGTCTGATGAAGACAAGGCAAAAATTGTTCGTCAAGTTGAGGTGAAGAATTTTTCTTGTCTCTGAAATGATGTCTCATGATGAAGCTCATTCTATTTTTATACCATAAACCAAAATGATAATGATGATTCTCTCATTGCCAGTATTACTTTGGAGACATCAACTTGCCAAGGGACAAGTTTCTTCAGGAGCAGATCAAGTTGGATTCAGGTTGGGTACCCTTGAAGACCATGCTGACTTTCAGGCGCTTGAGTGCACTCTCAAGTGATGCAAATGCCATTGCAGATACTTTAAAATCTTCCTCTCTTATTGAGGTAGGTTGTACTCATAACATTTATTAATTTGCTGAATAAGATAAGTTTTTGTGCTCTTTGCAAAGTTTACATGGAGTACGAATTTGTGAAGTTCAGGGAATTCAAGAAAGTGCATCTCAGCTCATTTATTACCTTGTGCAGGTCAGTGATGATGGGAGTAAAATTCGACGTCACCCAGACAATCCATTGCCAGAAGAAGGAGAGGAGAGAAGGGATGCCTTGTTGCAATGCACTGTCTATGTCAAGAACTTCCCTCAGACAGTGACCATTGATGACCTCCTTGCTTTCTTTCCACAAGATGACATTGATCATATTTATGTAAGCACAACTACCTATCTTCAGCTACTGAATGCCTTTCATCTCGTGGCTAAAGAACATTTCCTTAAGAGATTGCTGGGGTTAATTTGTTTGATGTCAGTCTGCAAGGCAAAATAGGTTAGGCTGATTTTTCTGTTCTGTTGAGGAAGTTGCAGTCATCCAATGTCACTTTTGATCTAGTAGCAGATGACTCATGGAATCTAGTGACAGTTTTTCATTTTACCTTTCCAAATTGTGTTTTTTTTTCAATATCTAGATGAGGAGGCATCGAGATGCATTGGAAAAAAAGCATGTATTCAAAGGATCTGTCCTAGTCACCTTCAAAACAAAGGAGAAAGCACAAGCATATTTGGCACAAGATGCCATCAAGTATCAAGATGCAGAACTCATCAAAATGTGGCAGTTAGTGACACTGGTTCAACTGTTTTCTCAAATGCTCATACTTCAGTCATCACTGTTTTGACCTTGGGGATATTAAGTCTTCAAGGTTTTCTCTATACACATATTAATTGTGGCTGTCCTTTTGGCTTTTGCTCTGTCTCTGCCTGTTGGGCTTGCTGCCATCACTTTGTTCTTTGCTAGGAGAGGCAAAAAAAAAAGGCCCAATCTTTGAAATTCAAAGAAAGTTCTTTGCATGAACATCCTAGGATTTTTCTCATTTTTCTTCAGTCATTTTATTACAGTAACAATTTTACAAAAACAACTCTTTTCTTTGGACTTGCTTGAATATTCTGATCTTTGGACCTTCAGTTCTGGCAAGGAATGGTAATTCTTTTCAAGTCTTATTTTCCTTGCACTTCAGATTCCTCTGATGAGATCTCTGCCAAACTCCAATATCTCTTGCAATTTATGGATATGATTGCTGTGTCTCTTGAGAAACAAGGGCTTCTTCTACATAGGCAGTTCCTTTAGTTAAGCTGATATTTGTCTGCTACCCCTTATCTTTTCAGATGAATCAGTGTCTCACAGCTTGCGGATCTAAGTACATTAATTCCATCCTTTGGCATTTCTGCATAAGGCAGTTGATGTCTCTACTGTCCAGTTACTTTTGAAACACCCTGTATTATAATTCAACTTGTATTTTGAGGATTATGTCTTGTGCATGAGGAATGACAGCCTTACTGCTTTCAATGTCTTAATTCAAGCCTTGTGGGCAGTGATGAGGAAAATCACCCTTTCATTAGGTAATTTAAACAATCTTTTGAAAAGCCATATTTTGTTGAGCACAATATTTATATGGTTACAGCAGTATTGAGGATATTTATAAATTTGGAAGTATTGAATGGCTCATCAAACAACCTGTAAAAATGGAAATTATAGTTTTTACTACATTGCCCTTCAGCACCATTCTTTTATATTTCTGTATGCTAATCTTTCTATTGATATCAATAGTTGTGAAACATCATTCAACTTTGTTTCCCTTGACTCAACCAGCAGCTTAGATTCTGCTGTAAATAGCATGCTCTATTAGACACCCCCAGACATATTGTTTGAGTCCAATAAAGCTCAAATGCTGGCAGTGGTGTAGACACCTCATTGGCAACAGATAATGAGCAAAGCAAATGAATCAGAGTGGTGCCCATAAAAGCAAACATGGATGTACCAAAGCTTTCCAGTAATTCTAAACTCTCCTGTGTTCTTAAACTGCACTGTGTCAGAAGTGAGGAGCATAGTGGAAATGCTATCCATGACTGGGTTTCAGTAAAATATATTTTTTAAATGTACATTTCAAAAGGAAAGAATGGCTGGAGGAGAAAAAGCAAGAAAAGCAGAAGGGGAAAGAGCAGCAAAAGGCAATGAAGGAACAACAGAAGAAGGAAAAACAAGAAGCTGCTAAATATGTGGCCAAGTATGAACAAGCAAGAAAAGGGAAGAAGGAGAATGAAGAGGTGAGATGAGTGCATGGTAGGATGCAATGAAAATGATACTGATTTATGTAAACTTTCATATTGCCATGACTGATACAGAGTCTGTTACAGTCACCTCTTGGACTTAGTATGTTACTGTTCACAGGGATACAAGTACCCTTGGATAATACCTTGCCAGAGTCAAATAATCTAAGAGATGACAACTTACATCTTCTCTGCATGTTCCTGTGCTGACTTATCTGACACCCTGTGTCAACATTCCCTCTCAGAGGAAGGATGGAGAAGGAGAGGAAGGAGAGGGGGAGGGAGAACCAGAAGCAGAAGAAAGAAAAGGGTTTCCCAAAGGAACTGTTCTTCAATTGAAGGGCATTGTAAGTGGCACTAGCTGGAAAGATATCAAGGCAGAGCTGGAAAAGTTTGAAGCTGATATTGCCTTCATCAAGTATTCAAAAGGAGACAGTGAAGCCTATGTGCGACTTCAGGAGGAGAACTCTGCGTCTGAGGTAGAGTTACTGTTTCTCTTTAATTACTCCGAGCATGTGGAGATGGTAGATGGGGTTCTTACTGATAGAGAAATTGATATATTTTACAGATCAAGAAGAAAATAGATGAAAGTGAGAAGAAAGTGGAAGTGCATGGTGCACCAGTGGAAGTGTGCATAATGGCAGAAGATGAGGAGGAAGAGTTTCTTCGCAAAGAACATGAGCAAAAGGAGAAAACAAAAGGAAAGAAGAGATGTAAGTTGTTAACCCAAGATGGAGTTTCCTACATTGTATCCTTAAATTTTGTCAGAGCATGAAGTACCCTAGTACATGGTTGAAGTGCAAAATACATGAACTACTATAATGCAAAAATTGATTAGAAATGTGAATTTTTGTGAATCAGCTAGATAATATAGGTGTCTAAGGAGAAGGCTTGATAGTGTGCTACCTGCAGAGCAGTGTGCTTTGGAATGTCGAAAGAGGAAATGTTGAAAAGAGTTAGCCAGTAAAACTCAATGGATGAAATTTAGGATTAAAAATAGTCAAAGAGGACTGAATTTCCAAGAGGGAAAAGTTGAAAATGTATTTCAGTGTTCTCCCCACCCAGAGTGATAGCAGTCAAAACTTTTCTTAGCTGTTGAGTACACTTTGAATAGTGTTGGTGCAAAAAGTGTGGTCCTTCTCCTTGTGAATAAGTTAAAGGGAATGAGTTGTCCTGGGTAAATGCATGGAACATTTACATTACCAACATCCTTCCCCTGTCAAAGGTGTGGAAAAACCAAAGAACTGCATAATTCCAGCTGAAGAAATGTAACCAGAACTACTGACTTCTAATACATAATTGCCTTTGTAGTTCTGCCAATCATTCTATTGCCTGAGACCATTGTCAACTTCAATATGCCTGAAGCTAATAAAAATCAATGAAATAACCATGGTCATTTGACATGATTTGCATTTCCTCTTGTTTGGTATTTTTCATTTTCTGGCAGGAATTCACCCAACATATTGCACAATTGACATGCCATCTGCCTTTTTATCTTTTTGCCATTTCTGACTATCAGCATTTCCATGTTTGACATTTCAATGTATACCCCTTACAGAGCTGCTGGTATTACTTCATTCTAATAGTGTAGCTTTGAGTGTAATACAGTACTTAAATTCTTGACACTGTGTGATTGTTCCATTTTTGTAACTTGGAGTTAGGCTGAAAAGCTGAGGATGGATTCTGGTCAGGGTTACCCATGTAGGCATTTCTTTTAATCACTTTGAAATTTGAGTGCACATAGTTTTAATGCAGTTGAATTATGACAAAATGCAGACTCATCCTTGGATGTGAGGTGATGAATAGTGTCTTGAATACTACCCCTGCCTTCATCTGCTCTTGACTTGATGGAGTTCTTTCTGTGTATCTGTGTTGCAGTCCAAGGCAAGAGGAGAGGTCGTGGTGGAGGGCCACCTGGGAAGCGGCGGAGAGCCAACTGACCTCTCATATAAGGGGAGAGTGATGCTTTTTAAGGCAGAAAATCATCACAAATCCAGATTTAGACATATGAGAAACTTTCCCTCATGAACTGTTTTTCTGACAGGATTTTGTTGTCTGCGAATGAACTCTTGAAATGTGGCCAAGGGAGAGGGAGTGCGTCTCGGATGAGTGGGAGCTCGCGATAGAACTCGCAGAATAATTTATCCTTAGTAGCGAGGGATTACTTATTTAATTATTCCAACTTTCCTTCCGACACGGTGCAGGGCGTGAGCTTAAAGGTCAAGAGAACAATGCAGGTTCTTGCTTGGAGCGAGTTTAGAGCTGAGAGATGGGGAGAATCTGAAGCAAATTTGACCTCGACATGAACCGTACTTTGCAGAATGTTGTGGCTAGTGACCTGGATGCTTCTTGACGGCGTAATTGGACATTAAGAATGAAAAAAAAAACTCCCTCTGGAATCAATGATAGACCTGAATGCTTAAAGATGGAATTCATCTGCCTATTCTTCTCACAAGTCCAATGCACCAATGCGCAAACCTAACGAAGAGTTGAGAAAAATTCAACAAGGGAAATTGGAATAAGTGATTCCTATCCAAAGAAGGATTTTTTTTCTTAAAATTTCATCCGAAGTTATTCTGCCGAGACAATTAAGTGAGTTCTTCTTTCCACTGGTCGATGCCAGTGTTTGCCTCTTTAGGGTGTCAAATGAAGTGTCCCATCGTTATTAAGGCACATTACGTCATGGAATTTATTCCTTTATATGTATACCTCCATTCATTTGGCCGTCTAAGGCGAGAGGCATTTTTATTTGAGATCAAGGTCCTGTAAGTATTCGAGACAAATAAGAATGACCTTATATTGACCTTAATAATGATAAAATTACAGGTGAGCGCGATCATCTATTGATAAATGGCTGTAAAAGAACTGTAGGAGGAGATAAGACAATATTTATGATGTTGGAGGCAACAGAGGTCACCCGATAGCGAGAACGTCTTCGCCTCAGTAGTTTATTTTTGCTCGGTTTGTCTCTTTGCACGAGTTGATGAATTCCAAGTTGAATCGGCTTTCTTTTCTCATTCGATAACTTCATGGTGACGCAGAGGGAAAACCATGCAGATCGATGAACCTCTTGGAGCTCAACAACACAACTATATATGGACAAGAAACCCTGATCCGGTATTCTCGCTCCGGAAAACTCGAAGCACTTCCACGATGAGGAGTCCGACGGGAAAGACTGTCCTCGATCCTATTGCGATGGCTCTTTCAGTCAGGATCAGAGGCGTATTTAGGCTCATGAACCAAGGGAGGAAGATAATAGGAAGAGGGCTGCGAAGACCGATGGAGGGGATGGGGGTGGGGGTGGGAATGCTGAGAAATGCCTCTCTAGCTGCCGGGGGTGGGGGAGGTGTGACAGTCCCCCTACCCCCTCCTCCGCATCCCATAAAATACGCCAGAGGGCAGGATGACTTAATTTTATAGGTCGTCGACCGACTGCTGGTTTGGTCTTACTCCGAAATGAAGCCAAAACGAGACACACGATTTATTGCATATCATTCCAACTCCCATGAAAGATCCAAGCAGAGATTAAGGGCATGACGGATCTTGAGGAATCCCAGAATGAAGAATCCAAGACCGAAACAAAACGACCGTGATGTCAGCATTGCGATGGCATCGTTTCCTCGTGGAGAATCTCTGGTGGGTTCTCTGATGATTTATTAGAGCATGTATCCGGGTCATTATCACACTTGACCTATCGAGACCTTGAAGTCTTATGACTTCGAGGTCTCGATAGAAGTAGAGGAGAACTCCACAACGACCCCCGATAGCGGAAAATTAATTTATGGACATTAGCTAGGCTTGGATAAAACTCGGTGGGCCTCAAATTGATGTTATGATCACTTGATTTTTCTTGGCAACACTCAGGGTAACTCCGGTCAAATGAAAGGAGTATTCGAAGCAGGAGCCTTTCTGGTCATCACTCTTATATGAGGAGAAATTGAGGTCCGATTGGAAATCTTTTCTCGACTTTCTTATGAATTCACCTTGCAGAGGCACTTTTCCACATGTTCCAAAATCAAAAGTAAGTCTTCTTGATGATGACTTTCATTTCAACAGGCGATTCTTTTCCCCTCAACGTCTTGTCGCTTTGGCTTCAGCGATTTTTCCTTTGCCTGTGCCTATTCGTTTTGACTGACTCATGTCTTTTTCTTATCGTGCTCGCGCGCCACACTTATCATACGAGAACTCGTAAACACTTGATAGACGAGTAGGTTTCTTGAGATCAATGCAGCTCCTCATGGGAAGTACTACAGTGCTTATCGAATGAATTCCCCCTCCCAAGTAGTGCCAGTTACCCGACCACCATAGATCAGAATGAGGCCTGGAAGGAGCTTCGCAAACTTGACATTATACAGTCCATCAGAACGAGCAGAAACCAACATTCTTTGAACAAAGTTCGTATGAGGTGAACCTTGAGGAATGTCATGGCATCAAAGTAAAAATGACATCGTCAGCTTGTCATCAACGCAACCACGAAATCAGTCGTATATCACTGGGATGCTTATTTATTTTGACCTTGCAATTTTATCATTCATGAAAGGACGCACCTGGAAAAATCTCACCGTTCTCAATCTTCCCGGAATTCCGAAGATAAGTTATACGAAATTGAAAATTTTACTTTCTGCATCCTCCATTACTTAGAAAAAAAGCCGTGGTTTTCACCGAAGCTTTCTCCCTTCTAGGAAAGCCTCAAATGGCAGCATGCTTACATTTGATTTTTTTCATCGAAGAAGAGGAACCGGACAAGAATCCAGTCGATACCTATGTCCATGGATAAATTCGGAGAAGATAGAATGTACTGGACATGAAGGAAGAGTCGAAAATGCTTTTCATTGGTCACAGTACCGAGACGGAATTTTAAATTTCCCCCTCTGAGTCGAAATAATGATCGTGAAATCCTTCGTTAGTCAATGGGTATCATCGATGTGATTCTCAAGGTTGAAGTGAATGATAAAGAAGTTGGGGGCCTGTGATAATCTCCCTGAGAGTCTCCAATAAGTCAATACGAGTTATTACGAGGGATGACTACGCTAGAGTTTGATGGGAAAGTCATAGTGAATGAATACGTTTCCCCCAACCGCTTGCAGATGCAGAAAATAGCGAGGTGGGTGACATCTACATTGATTAGTTGGTATTAACAGATACAGTACTCGCAGATGCGTCTTAGAAAAGCATGGCGAGTCATTGGGGCCCATGGTAAAGGGGGGGGGGCTGACTGCAAATGAATGTCAGTACAGATGCTCCCCAGTCTGTGCAACGACATCCACTCTATGTTGAGGATTGGTCGGTGATGTTCATGGGATGTTCATGGGATGTTCATGGGATGCTCGTGGTCGAGTACATGCCCAACTTCGACTCGATATTTAAAAATGAGATAAGTCTCAATATAGTTAGGACGTGGAATTCCTGCTGCACTTCAGTTGAGTGCTCCATGCTCTGTGAATTTTACATGAGTATGATGTCGAGCGAGCCATCTGGCGGTCATTCGAATGGAAAAGATTCCCCAAACAGAAGCGAGATGGCGACTGAAACGCCCATACAGAAAGTTGGAACTGGCGTTAGTCCTCAGTACTTTTCGGGCGATAATTGATAATTTCTCAACAGATACTATTGTGTGTCATCAGTGTTTTCAATGGTGCATCTCCGTGCACTATTGCTACTGCCATAAAAGTAGCAGTCGCTTTTCATTTCTGATTTTTGTCATTATTTTCGCCTAGGTTCAGGCGAGAGTTTTGATTTCAAAAATATCTAATTTAGTATTTTCTGTACTAAATCAGTACATAAGGCCTCAAAAGCACATCATCAAATCATTACGAGTCCTATGAAACTAGCGAAAAGTCTTGAGCTGGGTTTGTCGAACGATACCCTCTTTGTCGGAATCGGTTCAGTAGTTTTGCCATGGCAAGAAGAATGTGAGTACTTGGTACTCGTGAGTACTGGGCCGGAACTAATGAAATTTCAAGGACTGGGAGAGCTTGTCGAGTGGACGAAGAAAAGGGGCCACTATGAATTGTGTTTCGTATTTTGATGAATTTCTCAGAAGCTCAATTTCCCTGAAACTCGAATGCTCTGCATGGTACTTTCTATTGCGAAGGAGGGAAAACAAAGGAAGTTTTTGGCTAATTGGCGGCCAATTTCACTGCGAAACGTCCGAGATAAGTTGGCTTCAACATACCTGGGAAATATTGATGAAAGTCTTCATTATTTCGTTGTGACTGGCAGCAATCGTTTGTCAGCAAATAAAAACCTATGACTTCATAAAATGCATAATGCGATACAGGTTTTGTATTTTGCCCATTTTTGAGACTTCATATGATTCGGCGGAATTTTCTCGGGGAGACAACGGTGAAAGAGAGTTTTGGAAACTCCGAGGACGGATTGAAACGTGCCACCCTGTCTCGGTGGTTTATTTCCTTCCATTCCCATAGGTACTCTGGGGAAATAGCAGATACTGCGGTCGATCTGTCACTTTCCAATATTATTCATTTATTTTTCATCCCGTCTGTCCGCAGTATCCATAATAATAGGATAACACGACTCACCGGGCATGTACGGCTTTCAGCCCGGATCGGGGGTGTCAGTCTACGACTCTATCATCCCTTTCCCTTCCAGCCCTCGCGGATGACAGATTCACAGTGGACGATAAGAGACAGGGGTTGCTTGTGACTGCGCAGACAAGGTTGCTTGGCGTACGCGTGATATGACGCATCTGACATCCTACATTTCATACTCTTCTCCAATCACGCGACGCGGACTCGCGAACCATCGAGAACGTATCTATTGATAGTTGTTAGGCCTTTTCATATAGGCCTATGCTGTACCCAATGACAGCTATTATTTATTTCAAGGTTGGATGGTTGGAATGCGGCAAAGAAGATGACTCCAGTGATATAGGGGCCGTTGGAATAGCATATCTGTACCTTCGTTGGTATTCTCTATTTAAGATGGCGACTGTACCGAATAAATTTCGGTTTCAAGCCTGAAGCCACGACGCTAATAAGTCGTGTCGGGAGATAAATATGCCGCATGGGAAGACGATACGATGAAAACCCGGGTTCGTGATGGATTCCATCAAAGTCAGACCCCAATCTCCTATTTATGTGCCACCCAAGGCATATTTTAATGTGCAGTTGTAACAGATAGTGCAGTTCTGAAATATTTTGTGAAATTCCGAATTGGAATTTTTTCAGAGCAAAACTGGGCAAGAATTATATTTTGTACCAAAAATTAGACTTTAAAATGGTACTAAATCTAGTTTATCTTTACAAATCTTTGCACTCCGCATTCGGCGGGGAGCGCTCAGCGTCGTACCAACCACTTCTACAGATGGGGTATTATCATTTGTGCAGTTCTGATTTTTTCTTACTCTATGCTCTGGCTTCACCTTCAGTCACTGAAGTCGATAACATTAACAGTCGATGCCTTCAAAATAAATTGTGAAAATACAGGCCTTGGAGCGCACATGCACTCATTGAAAGCAGTCTCCATTGGATATGGTAAAATACCCAGTGATGGGTCGCATTCTAACAGCTAAACTTGGGTGCATACCCCTGCAATAACAGACTAGCAACATGCATGCAAAATTGTAATTTCAGCGG